TAACGTTTTGGGTCCAGTGACCCTTCCTCTGACAAAGGGTCACCGGACCTGAAACGTTAACTGTTTTCTCCTCCACGGATGCTACCAGACTTGCTGAGCTTTTCCAGCAACTTTGTTTTTGTTCCTGATTTACAGCATCTGCAATTCTTTTGGTTTTTACTTAATATTCCATTGTTACAAGAATATTGCACTTCCAACTCAATGAAACCCCCTTTCACTTTAGTGGCTAGTCGAGCTGTCTATTTTTAATGGCTGCTTCAGATGTTTTGTTTTTAAACTATCTTGTAAGAGGGGCACTGTTTATACCTTGCATAGTGATGTTAAGTTAAATTAATGCCCTGTCTTTAATCTTCACTCAACTGTATGTCGATTGACATTGTGTGCACTTTTTGAAATTACTTCCTGTATGTATTTGGAAGGTGGATGACAAAACCAAGTTTTCAACTCCTATGTGTTTTTACACTCTTGGATTTTCCAATTGGCATAGTGTACTGAATTTTCAACTTTTTTCTATAAATACAGGTTGTCGCTGATACCAAAGAGTTGGTTTCATCCACAATAACTGGAGCTAAAGATGCAGTCTCCAACACTGTGACTGGAGCAAAGAATACAGTGACTGGTGTTGTAGATATGGCCAAGGGAGCAGTCCACGGCAGCATTGAGAAAACCAAGTCTGTAATGGCTGACGGAGTTGATGCTGCCATGGCATCCAAAGTAGGGCAGATGGTGGTCACTGGTGTTGACAGTGCACTCAATAAATCTGAAGAGATAGTTGATTATTATCTTCCTATGACTGAGGAGGAACTGGGTAAGTAACATAACTGATTTTGTATCACTTCAGAGCCCCTAAGCCACTGTTTAAAATCAGTTATGTGGTTCTTAGCAATATTGGGATCACTCCATACTGTCAGTCTTGACCATGTGTACTATGATTTTGTTTTTTGGGCTGCAAACTTTGTCCTTTGAGATTAAAAGTTATTCAGTGTAGAATGTAGTTTGTAAGCATACCTATAAACAAAAGGCAACTAATTGATTTTATTTATCCCACTAAGTATCCAATTCCTGCTTTCACTTTTCTCCCCTGACCTATCCTGTAGTCAAAGGATCAACAAATGAGCTGTCCAAGAGGAGAAATGTCTTGTAAAGCTCTTGTTCCCTTCACCTGTGGGGGGTGGGGGACCCAGGTACTGGGGAAAATCAGTAACGTACTTGATGGGCAGGAACACACCCTCCTCTATTGGGAAAGCAAAGATCAAAGTAGTTCCAATAATGGTGAATTCTGACTTCAATTTGAAGTGACAATTTTTGAATAGTTTACAACTAAGTTTATTAGTTCACAAGTAGTTTGTCTTGAACCTTGATCAAATTTGGTGTACACAAGCTATGGTAACTTTATAACTGAACTTGGAATGTAAAAAGATCTGCCTTAAGCATTGCAGCCTTAATTTGAAAATTCTTCTTTTTTTTCAGCTAAACTAGCTACTTCTGTGGAGGGCTTTGAGGTGGCCCCAGCACAAAAGCGGAGTTATGTGCGCTTGGAATCTTTATCTTCAAAAATTCGACATAGAGCATACCAGCACTCTGTAGCCAAGTTGCAGAAGGCAAGACAAACCAGCCAAGATATTATGGCTCAACTTCACAACACCATGGATTTGGTAAGGTCACGAAACTATTGGGTGAGTCTTTCTCTTTAAAATTGGCTGAAATTATTCCCTTGCTCTACCAGAATCTAGGATCAAATGATGTCCTGTAGTTCCTTTAAACTTGCACCCCATCAGCTACTGAAAAGTGTGTTCCTCTGCTGCATTGACATCTAGCTTTTGAATCAGTTTATTTTTGGTTGCCACTGAATAGTTGAATAAAGCTTAACAGTTTGTTAAATGTTACTTCAATTTTCAAGCATGATTTGTGTTGCTATTCTCCAACTTAATTCCCCCCTCAAACTAAAGTTGTCTTACTATGAGCCTAATTCAAACTGGTTGCTGACTTCATTCTTAGCAAGGCCATTATTTTCAAGTACTTTACTACTTGAGTCTCCCGGCTGTAGGTCAAAGTTACAAATCAGGTCCTGACAGCTTTTTATGTTCTGAAGCTACAGATCAAATCAGCATACATCTAAGATGCAGGAGGCCAACTGAAGTAGTTGATCAATGTCTCATAAGATGATGGTTTTGATTTAAAAATTAACTTGTCAGTGCCACTCAGCAGTCTTGACACTGAAATAGATGTAATTTCATTCCAAGAAACATTCTTGAAAGCTGAACGAGGGCAACTTCAAATTGTCACTGACCATTGAACAGAGTCTTTCCAAGTCTGGAATGGCTTCTTGTTTTTGTAATGTCTTTTCACAATAAACAAAAAGTCTAGGGTGTAGCAAAAGAAAGGAGAAACAAGAATATTTCACTTGTCAATAACCCTTCAATACTAATGTAACTTTGCTGCTTTCTCACTGCATCTGCACTCATTTAAACTGAAACCACGAACTCAGTTTTCCCATGTATTGGCTTTGGATGGGATTCTGCAAACAGTCTTTTTGTTCCTGATTTGCACTTTCCCAGTGAGAGGTAAATGTAGAGGTGGTGAATGCATTGGATTCTGGAATGGTGGCTTTGAAGGCAGCAAACATCCTCCTCCAGTGAAGGAGGGAGTGAAAACCAGGAACTGTGACTTAATTAAAAACAAACTGCTGGAGATTGCAGCAGGTCAGGCAGCATCCATGGAGAGAAAGCGAGCTAACATTACAAGTCTAGGTGACTTCATCTGAAAAGTCATTTGACTTGAAACGTTAGCTTGCTTTCTCTCCACGGATGCTGCTCGACCTGCTGTGATCTCCAGCATTTTATTTATTTTTTTGTTTTCAGTACAAATTCCAGTGACTACTTCAGACTAACTAGCCTTCTCATAAAGAATGGCCTCTGATCATAGCTGGCATGGATTTGTAATAGTGTTTTAAATGACCCTACTGAGGGTGTTAACAGAATTGATGAATTGAAGTGTGTACTTTCAAAATGGGAAGGAAGCCAACTGGGTCTGAGATATGAACTTGCAATTCTAACATTGTGAATCTTTTTGGAACTTCCTGAGGGCTGTGAAAAATCAGTCATTTGATATATTAAAAATCCTCTTTTTTTCTCTTTTTGCATTTGTTGTTTATGGTTAAAATCCCACATACTTTAATCTGGCTCCCAGCTCTGATTATTTGGACTATCGGGTTTGTTGATTCCCATGTGGAAAATCCTGCCCTAATACTGCCAACTTGGTCTTCTCAGTTTTTAAAACTGACCTAGCCCTCATCAAGGATTTTATGCAACTCTTGAAAACTGAAATGCAGTATGGAGATGCAATGCTGGAAATTTAGTCTACCAGTGAATTCAGTCTTTCATCAGCATTGTGATTTACATATTTTTTCCTTCAGATTGAATTAGGAAGGAAAGGAGCAGATTCAGCAAATCAGAAGCTGCATGACATCCAGAAGAAACTCCATCAGACCTGGGTTGACTGGCAGAAGAAACAAGCAAAGCAAGTGGAGGAAGAAGGGGCTCAGAAGCCAGAGGTAAGGATTTCAATCTTGCTGTAGGATCAGCAAGGAATTGGTAAGGTTGTGAAGGGCAAGCTGCCAAGTAAAGGAAGCCTCCTTTTTAGAATCCTTAGTACAGAAAGAGAAGCCATTCAGCCCAGCAATTTATAACCAACCCTCAAGCATCCCACCCAGACTCTCCATCCCTGTAACCCCACATGGGTTTTTAAACTGTGGCGTGGCTAACCTAACTTAACCTCTATAATCCCTGGATGCTATGGGACAATTTAGCATGGCCAGTCCACCTGCCTGTACATCTTTGGACTGTGGGAGGAAACCAGAGCACCTGGAGGAAGCAGGGCAGACAGTTGCCCAAGGCTGGAATCAAACCCAGATCCCCTGGTGCTGAGAGGCAGCAATGCTAGCCACTGTGCTGCCCTGTTTGAAACCCGCCCAGGCTACTTTAATTGAAGCCCTCACCTGCAGTATACAAAGGTTAAATCACATTTTGTTTCAAAGCTTGTATTCTGTCCAAGTTCAGTGACCGTGTAATGCTTCACAAGTCTCCCAGGTCAGTTGTCAATTGACACTTTAATCCCTGGTGTTTCCATTAGAAGGACAGCATAGGATGTTGTCTCTTACTACATCCAGGAAGTATTTCTCCTATTGTTAATGTAACAGCCACTCTGACATCCTTAATCTAATAGATTATTGGACATGTGAAACTACATTTCATTTTGTAACTCTTTTTAAACTTTCGGTTCCTTCTGTCCTGAAGACACCCCTGACATCTCTCTCGGCATGTTGACTGAGTAGCCATCTGTTTATCCAAACCAGTCAGTGGACCCTTTGTCACTAGGCTTCTGGCTGCATGAAAGTGGATATCTGACCCCTGGTCAAACCATAGCAGATTGCTTTTGAGGAGTGGTGGGCTTGAACCACTTCTACCCACTTTTTTTTGAGGGGTGGCATGACTTGTAGATGTTAATGACACTGCTGCTCTTTCCTTGTTAGGAAATGGAAATTGAGTGGAAATCTTGCCATGTGCTGGGAATGGAAATTTTTAATCCAGTGATATCCAATATATACTTTAACCTGGGAGATGTTTACTTTTTGTCTAATGAATTGGCCACACTAGGTGTTAGCAGCCTTAAGTAGTAGAAGTAAACCCAGTATCTCATTCTTCATAGCCATGTGCTATATAGTTGTTTCAGCTATAAATCTTTGTTACTCACTTCCAACAAGTCACCTTTTAGAGGCAAACTTGGTAGTGAGACCTTCTGTACTTGGAAACAATCACCTTGTGACCTGTATAATAGCTGCCTCTTGTCACGCAAAGCTTGTAATGGGTTTTTCAGCTGATACCTGGGCAGTTATCCTGAGCATGACCACCAGCTTTTCTTCCAGCTCTTTCTCCCCCTCATCCCAGGTCCCAAGTTCAACTGCAACTAAGACATTGCATCTCTGCTTCCCCCTGCTCCCACCTTTAACAAAACAGCAGACAAATAACCTAACCAGGCAACTTTTTAGTAATATAACTTTGAAATGTAGAATACTCTGTCCTTTGTATTGAGTAAAAATCTTTTGTACTGAAATTGTAAATTGAGACCCCTCATGGATACACAATCAAAAAATCAAGATTCTAATAGTCTCTTTTGAAATGAGCCAGCAGGTAACCAGATTTTAAATCTGTTCCTTTGTATCCAGTGAAGTTGAGTTTTAAGTTTTAGACCCCTTTTGCATTAACACAGACCAGGTGAAGATTCTAATAGTATCCTTTTTTTTTTGTACTGCAGCAGCTTGAATCCCAAACCCTAACCATGGCTCGTGGTCTCACCCAGCAGTTACAGACGACCTGCCTAACTTTAGTTTCAAATGTACACGGCCTCCCTCAACATATTCAGGACAAAGTGCAGCAGATCCGCAAAACAGCAGAGACCATCCACACGTCGTTCTCATCTGCCAATTCCTTCAGTGATCTTTCAGGACAACTCCTGGCACAAAGCAGAGAGCAAATGCTGAAGATCCGGGAGTCCATGGATGGGGTGATGGACTATGTACTTCACAACACTCCACTCAACTGGCTGGTGGGTCCGTTTGCTCCACAGCTGACTGAGCGGCCAGAGTCAGAAGAGATAGTAGAAATGGATAAAGATCAAAATTAGATATGACCTGCTTAGCTCTATATACTGTGAGCGGTTTATGTCTTGAGACAGACTTGTATTAGGTTTAGTAACTTGAGCATTTGAATTGATGTTGCTGTTTTCACTAAACTGTATTTCTGTCCTATATGATAAGCAAACTAACTTTTTTTTGTCTGGAGCCTCTTAATTACAGAATCCCAAGCTAAAGCAAAATGCACAATGTGTCAAGTAACATCTGGAGGGCAGGTGGTGAAAGTGTGAAGTCCAAAAGTTTGAATGATATTTTCATTCTCCACAATATTTGTATCTGAATTTTGATAAGTGAAAATCATGTTGAAATCTTGTAAGGTTAACTATTTGGCCAAAAGGTCACCTGATCAATTTCTCCAATTGGAATCTGACCTGTAGTGTTTTTTCTCACTTCTGGTATTGTACAAGTTCTAATTCTACAAATTCAAGATGACTTTTGTACATGTTCAAGATGATCATGTAATTTTGACTTTTAGTTCTGGGCCTGCACTGTTACTGTTGACCTGGCACCTTTTTAACATCTGGGTTAGCTGTGTGCATGTGTACATACATATTCCATCTGGGTGTCAAACCACATGTGCCCAGAACATACTGGGTACATTAGCTGCAACTTGCCCAATTTAGGGCACCATATACCTGGAGACTTTGATCACTTGGTTTATGTATTAGGAATGAACACTTATCACTTGGAGAATTTAACCATTCTGTAGTATTATGTAAAAATCTTGGTGATTTTCATTGGCTCTTGTAATCTGACTAAACTACTAGATTGTAAGAGGCTGCTTTGGCAGATGTCTGTACAGCAGAGGGTAAGCAGGAAAGTGGGTCAGCACCAGTGTGATGCTTTTAAAATAAAGTGCATATTTAACTTCTAATTGAATAAATATTTTGGCATTATTTGGAAGTCTCCATGTTCAAGTTTCTGTAACAGCATCTAACTTGTATGGTAAATTGAATACAAATTTGCACTGCACAATTTTTTTTTGTCTTCTGAACTGGTTTATGAAGATCCTGACTAGTCATGTGCTTTGATGCTACAGTTGAAAAATTTCTAAAATGCAACTATTCCAATAGTTGCATCTTCATGACCTCTAGTATTGTGTGCACTTTATATTTTTCATATAGTGACTATATAAACACTTTATCAAATGAGCTCCTGCAATATCATGACCAGATGAATGCTGGATGATAGAAAGATCAGTTCTGTCCCAAATAGTGCTGTGGGAGTTTTTCTTTTGCAATATTGCAAATGATTCAGGATGTAATTCAAAGTACACTTATTGTACAACAACATTACTGAGATTGTGCTGACTTTTCCAAAAGGAGTTGAACTTTTTTTTGCTAAGGTGAGAACACCACCAACTGAGCTTTGGATGTCTTAATCTATACATGCTACTTTATTTTTTTTAAAAAAAAAGTAATTAAGCTTAGCTGAATTAGTCCTTGTGAACAAGGTGGATATGGGCTAAAGGTTGAAGATTAACAAAGATTTCAGACTAGCGGTAGACAGGGGCTCCTTGTTTTAGCCATGACTAGGGGCAAAAATATCAATAATGTTTTTGTGTAGAACATGCAACCAGTTCTTGGATAAAATGGTTTCAGTGCTTTGCATTTCTTACCTACACAACAAAGAGAGCAAGAACTAGAAAATCTATGCATGGAGGGTGTTCAATGAAAATGAAGGAATATTCCTAATTTTGTGACAGCTATAAAAGTAATGTAGAAACACAAACAGCTGCACCCACTCTACCATTTTAATGCAATCATGGCTGACTGACTTGATGCCTTTTTAACTAATTACCAATTGATATAGAGTTAAAGTCATCAGAAATCTATTGATCTCAATGCTGTAACAGCACTTCCATAGTCTTCAGAAGAAATATACCCTGGTTCTTGAAAAACTTATCCATCCTAAATAGCCACCTTTATTTTTAGTGCTAGGCTCCTTAACCAAAAGAAAAAAATACTACCTGCATCTACTATTTAAGTAGGTTGCTAATTTCAATAAGGTCTCTTTTTATGCTTTAAAGCTCTGGAGAGTACTGGCTTGGTTCACCTAATCACACAGCAGAGGATAGTCTTGCTGTGGTGGCACTGATCCTTTTGATATAAAAGAACTGGAAGTATTCTAGTTGTGGAGCTTCAGTACAACTGATGGAAGACCTTACCATAATAAAGGCTAATTTTTCTGTTAGCCTTCCAAATAGCTTGCTGTACCCATAGGTTAGCCTTCAGTGACTTGGCATCAAGGACATCTAGGTCCCTTTTGTACACACTTTCCAACCTCTTACCAATCAAGAAATACTGTCTGTTTCTTCTACAAAGGTGGATAATCTCATTTCTCAGCATTATTTTCCATCTGTCATGTTCTTGTCCATTCATTGGAAGGGTTAATCATCCTCAAGCTGTTTTACATCTTCCTCACTGCATGCAGTTCCATTTAGCCTTGTATTCTCTGCAAATTTGTAAAATCATTCTTGGTTCCCCGTCTTCAATCACTTGCCATATGGACAGTAAATAGTTGTGGGCTAAATTCTGATCCTTGCAGTACCCTACTAGTCACAGCCTGGCCTAGGTAGAATGACCTGTTTGTCTGTCCTCCTATTCCTACTGTTTTCTGTGTGTCAGCCAATCTTCAGTACTTTTCCTCTTGTCCTATATGATGTAATTTTGCTAACCAAGCTCCTGTGGGGCTGTTATCAAAAGCTTTCTGAAAATCCAATTATATTACATTCATTGATTCTCCCATATCAATTTTATTGGTAACACCCTCAACCTCAAGATTGTCAAATCTAAGTGTTCACTAATCCCATGCTTATAATAGATTCTAGCATTTTCCCTTCCACTGACATAAGGTGAACAGGTCTGGAGTTTTCCTGTTTGTTTTATTGTTGTTCCATTGTTAAATATAGGTATGACATTCACTACCCTCCACTCTGCAGGAATCATTTGAGGATCTATGGAATTTTAGAAGATAAATTACCCATGCATGCATCCATTATTCCTGTAGTAAGCCCTTCAGCACTCTGGGATGAAGAATATCAGGTTTTGGTGATTTACCGACTTTCAGCCCCATTCATTTCTCTGGTATAACTTTCTTAATACTAATTACCTTCAACAACTCCTTCTCCCTCATCACTTGGATCTCTAGTTCTGGGAGATTATGATTGTTTTCACTGAGAAAGATATAAGTAAAGCAATTATTTAGCTTCTCTGCCATTTCTCTATTCCTCATAATAAATTCTCCTCACTCTGTAATTGACTCTTGTTCATCTCAGCTAAACAGTTCTTTTTCACGTACCTTTCAGAGCACATTCATAGCCCATTTTTATGTATTTTGCTAGACTATATTCATATCTTCTTCTCCCTTATTCTTGGCCCTTGTTTGCTGTATTCTAAAATGCTTCCAATTATGCAAATTGCTACTATGTTTGTCAACTTTATAAGCTTTTTCTTCATAAAAACCTTGTACAAGCCTAACTTTTTTTTTGTCAGTCAGATGACTGACATTTTTGAGGTTCTGTCTATTGTATCATAGAAGTAATTGTTCATGTCCATCATGCCTTTTAATGTTTTTCTCAATCCAACTCAGCCAATTTGTGCCTC